TCGAAAGAGTTTTCCTTAAAAAGCGTTTCATTTTTAAACATCCAATTTAAATTTTAAAAATATGGTTTCAACAAAAAATTCTGATTTTAAAGTTGAATTTTTAAAATCATTGGTTTTTATCCACCCCGATAGGCGCAAATTGAGAAATGGTTATTGTAATGCAGATAGAAATACATCACAGCTCTCTCTGTCACTGGGTGAGCTGTGTGTGGAAACACAGGTGCCTATTGTTTAAGGACCACGGTTCTTAGGCTGCATTGTTCTGAAGGTGAGCTTGGGGTGGAGGGCCCTACGGGGGCTGTAGGAGCATGTCTGCCAGTGACTGGGCACTCGGGAGGATGGTGATGCACTCAAGTCCTACCTGGGGGTTACCACAGGCCGCTTGTTGGCCACTCGGTGAGCAGCACGTTAGATGGGACAGAAGCTCGTCTGATCGAGCATTGCTCTTCTTATGTTCTTACATCGTTTCCTCCTAAAATCTGACCCTCCCTTTAATAGATGAAGGAAGGAAGGAAGGTACAAAACAGCAACGGAAGCCTAAGTTTGAATGGTATTATGACGTTGCACTTGTATCCCAAAGTGAGCAACTGGCCCATGACTAGCTTCCCACTCCCCAGTCCAGTACTCTACCCACCACACCACACCACACTGACTCTCGCTGAATGGGGGTGTAATGGAGGAATGGAGAAGGGAACTGAACCGCACAGCAGAGCCCTTACTTCACGTCAGAAGGTCCCAGATTCAATTCTTGGCCTAGCTGCTTAAAAATATCTGCACGTACCTGGTATGCTGTGCTGGAGGCAAGGGAAATATGGTCACTTGGGAAGAGCAGTGCTGGGTTCAGTGGAGAAAGGCTGAGGCCTGTGGCATTTCTGCAGGGGAAGAAGGGTGTGATATAGGGATGAGCAGGTGTATGAAACAGGGAGGCCAGTCAGGGTGTCCTGGGGTCTTGGCTCTATCATCTTTTTCTCATTTTTCTCCCTTTGAATTCTTTTCATCCCACAGTCACCTCTGCACCAAAACTGGGAATCATTTTGCTCTCAGGATAACTGCGATCAAGTACACTCCCAAACAGCCTTCCCAGAAAGGACAGTGTCTCTTTCAACATGAACGATGGACATCCAAGTATGTTGTGGTGCTTTCTTTGTGGGATATGGGAATTCATTGGACACCCAGCAAAGGGGGGATTTTTTCTTTTCTTTTTTTTAGGGAAGTGGAAAGTATGATCTTCCAGGTGCTGTTGGACTGCAGCTCCCATCAGCCTTGGTCAGTGGTGAAGGATCATGAAACTAGCAGCCCAACACCATCTGGAGAACCTTGTGCCCTCCACCTGTTTGGGGGGATTCATAAGTTTGTGCTGGTTTATGATGAAGCTTCACCATGACTGGATTGAGAATATAAGAAGGGCTCTGTTGGGCAGACCGAGACCCATTCACACGGGCTAATTGGGCTAATCAGCTGCTCTGGGGAAGCCCACAAGTAAGACGTGAATGCAGCAGCACCCTTATGCCCATGATCCCCAGCAACTAGTAGGCAGAGAAACAGGGGTTCTGATACAGGAGGTTGCTTATAGCCATCAGGACCAGACGTCATGAATAGTCTTCACTTCCATTAATTAGTTTAATCCTCCAAGTTGGTGGCCATTGCAACATCTTGCAGTAGCAAGTTTAACTATGCATGGTAGAGTTTCAGAGGTTTATCATTATCATTCTGAGGATTTTCTGGTGCCATCGCCCTGCCTCATTCATGGAGTTTTACAGGGTTGACCTGGGACAGATTGGTGCTGCTGAGACAAAACATCTGGAAGTCACCAGGTCGAGGAAAGCTGCTATAGATAGTCAAGAGATGCACAACCAACCCTTGTGACCTCTCCTCCCATCCTTTCCCATTACATTAACTGCAAAATTATAAGGGGCAAGCAGGCAATGTTGAGGATTTAATGTTAGAGGGCTTCAGAGATAACCTGAGTCTGCAGGCAAGAAATTATTTCATCAAACACTGGATGTCACCATTGTACCATACAAACATCTCTGAGATTGAAAGTTGGGGTGGGTGGGGGGAATCTTCCACTCAGTTCAAGCCAGTGAGAAAGGGTGCTTTCTGCTTCCCTTCCTTGCAGCCAAGGAAATCTTGCCCCTCCTTTCTGCAGATGTAACTCCCAACTAATAGTGTTGCTCTTAGATGGGCAGGCTTCGCTCCACAGGGGCTGCCATGGGTCAGGTTGGACGCTACTTCTGCCATCTTTAGATTGCACAGCCAAGAGCAGCATCAAGTGCTCCTTAGTTTTCACAGTCGTTTTGGAATTAGTTCAGGACATTCAAGCAAGTGACTGGAAAAGACCAGCCCCTTGAGCAGTTGCATTGCTTTGGCAGCTGCTCCCCCCCGCCCCCCCAGCTTTCTTTTCCTCTCAAGAAGAGAAAGGGCAAGAGATAAATCCAATGCAATATTAATCCAAATGCTATTGCTCACTGCTATCCGTACTGTCACAGCCTCTGGTGCACCATTGTGCAATCAAACTACCATGCAATTTGTATGGAATCATTTTTGTAATTTGTGTACAGAGAGGATTTGCTTTGTGTTGTTTTCCCCATGTTTGACCGCCTCTGTGGAGTGGTTTTGGTTCGGTTTGGTTTGGTTTGGTTTTTTTGCTTTTTTGTGTTGGCTTCTTTGGTGCTGGGGTATGCGGCTGGTCTGTGGTCCAACTGCCTAGTCATCTGGAAAGTTCCCGAGAGGCCCTAAGGCCAGCCGGCGCAGTATTGTGGTTCCAGTGTTGGATTGGGACTTGAGAGAGTGAGGTTCTAGATAACAGCCATGGATCTCACTGGGCAAATTTGGGCCAATCACTGACTTTTGGTCTAGCCTGCATCACAGGTTGTTGGAGAGGAGGAAAATCATGAAAACCTCCATGGACTCCTTCGAGGGGGGGAAAGGCAGGATATAAATGTAATAATAAATAAGGAAGGGATTCATATCTTAGGTATGCAATGGGCTGAAGCCATTTAAGTTTATTTATTTGTTTGTTTATTAAAAGCGTTTATAGACTGTCCCCTACAAGTGTCTCAGGACAGCTCACAAGAAGAGGAGGAGGAAGAAGAAAACCCCGAAAATATAGAACATAACAAGGCACTGCATCCAACCTCAAGTAATAAAACCCAGAATAAAACCAATTGAACATTAAAATGATGGGAAAATGAAAAGGGTTTTGTCTGACGCTGAAAAGAATAAAGCAACAGCACCAGGCAAACCTCTCTGGGGAGCAAATTGCAGAGCCCAGGTGTCACCACCAAAAAGGTCCTACTCTGGGTAACTACCCTCCTAATCCCCTTCAAGGAGGGCTCCCGGAGGAGGACCTCTGCCTCAGATCTCCAGGGGCAGGCTTGCACATAGGGCACAATCATAGAATAGTAGAGTGGAAGGGGCCATGAAGGCCATCGAGTCCAACCCCCTGCTGTTGCTGGAAAGGAGCTCCTTTAGGTATCCAGGACCCAAGCCATCTAGGGCTTTATAGGTCATTACCAGCACCTTAAATTGGGCCCAGACTTCCATTGGCAGCCAGTGTAAATGGTATAGGAGTGGCGTTATATGAGAGTACCTGCCAGTCCCCATTAACATCCTGGCAGCTCTATTCTGAACCAATGGAAGTATCCAGCCTGTCTTCAAGGGCAACCCTATGTAGAGCACATTGCAGTAGTCCAACTGGGAAGTTTATATAGGACAGAACTATCAGAGGTTGAAGAGTCTTCAGGAAATCCGCATTGTGCTGGTGACTCAGCTTTGCCATGGTTCGCTATGCAGCAACCCGGACGTCCTGGCTGTGAGGGACATATGATCATCAAGGTGTGTCCTTCAAGCCCACTGGTCAAGCCAGGCATCCTCAGACTTCTTCAATAAGGGGCCAGTTCACTGTCCCTCAGACTGTTGTGGGGGTGGACTATAGTTTGAAAAAAAGAAAGAAAGAAAGAACAAATTCCTATGCACACAGCAAATTTAAAAATTAATAAAAATGAAAATTAATTTAAAAATTAATTTAAAATAATTTAAACATTAATTTAAAATAATTTAAAATTAATTAAAATTAAAATAATTTAAAAATAATGAAAATGAAAATTAAAATGAATTAAAATGAATTAACATTTTAAAAATAATTAAAAATTAATTAACATTTAACATTTTAATTAAAAATGAAAAAATGTTTGTTCCACTCACTTGGGCTGCAGCAGAATCCCAAGATGATGCTGCCCCACCTGCTGAAAGGGAGAGCACGACACGAGGGGGAGCCATGAGGGCGCACTCACCTTGGCCGAGGCCTTTCCGGCTCCTCTCCGCCACCCTGCTTCCAAGCCGGAGAAAGGTCCCCTTGGAGGTGCTTGCCTGGCTCTGGGAGGGGGAGCAGGAGCGGGAGGCCAGAGAGGCAGGCACGGGCGGCTTCCCTGGCTGGGAGAGGGCCACGAGGAGGTAAGGGCTGCTTTCCGCGGGCCAAGGCGCGGGGAGGTGAGGGACGGGGCTGTGGCCAGCCGAGTAGGGTGCCTCCCGCCTCTCCCCGCCACATTCGCCCCTGGGCTTGGTGAGGCGGCCGACATGGCTCACATAATTAAAAATAGATTTAAAAAGTTATATTTTTCTTACCTTAAATCCTTTTTTAGTTCTTCATCTTACTCTCTCTTCCAGTTGCCTCTCTTTTGTTTCTCACTCCTTATTCCTGCTCTGCATATGCATGCAATTGGGGTGGGGGGTGGGGAGGAGGATCCAGCACATGCGCAATTGAGCTCTTACAATTTGATGAATGTGCCGGCTCTCAGCGCAGTTTCGAAGAGTGCCTGCTCAGAGCTTTCGGACTCGCTTGGAGATCGTTTTCTCTGAGCAAGTCCAAAAGCTCTGAGGCAGGCCAGATAAATGAGCATGGTGGGCCGGATCCAGCCCACGGGCTGTAGTTTGAGGACCCATGGGTTAAGCCTTTGCCATGTGTGACTTTAATCAACATTTGTGGTCTTTGGGTGCAGGTCATCCCACAACCCGGATCCTGACCACAACCCTAGTGGTAACACAGCACATCTTGGCAGAGAAAAGAGGGAAAGAGGGGGATTTTCTCCTTTATGGGGCTACTGCGACTGAGATTACTGAAGAAACTGAATACATAAACAAGGTATGGCATTTTTCCATGACAATGTGAAGGGGCTTTATATGGCGGTGGACCACCAAGCCTTCTAGCCTAGTGTGGGCTGCGCTGACCAGCAAAAGGTCTTTTCCAAGCAAGATTCTGGGATCCTTTTAACTGGAAAAACTCAGCATGCAGTCTGCTCAACGTGTGCGCCCTATAATTGTAATCCACTTAGAGGGCCCTTGGGCAGAATATAAGAAATATAAGCAGAATATAATAAATAAATAAATAAATAAATGAATGAATGAATGAATGAATGTGTATGAATGTCAGAAGTGCCCTTCTGAATCAGACCAGCAACCCAGGCAGTCCACATTCGGTTCACACAACCACCTTGCACAGGATCCCACAAGAAGGATGTTGAGTGCACCAGCACCCTCCTACCCATCTTCCCCAGGAAAGGAGTGTGCAGGCATATTGCCTCTGATACTGGTACTGACAAATAGCTCGGATCAGTAGACACGGATAACCTTCTCCTCCATGAATGACCAACGTCCTTTTGAAGGCATCCGAATTGGTGGTCATCCTTGCCTTTCATTAAAGTGAACGCCATGGTTTGATTCTGTAATGTGTGAAGAAATCCTTCCTTTTATCTGACCTGCATCTCCCACTGCTCAGCTTCATGGGATGACCCCGACTTCTCTGATCATGGAAGAGGTAGAAAAACTGAGCTATGGTAGATTTAGATACAGATGGATGGATGTATCTGGATGGAGGGATGGATGAATGAATGAATGAACGAACGAACGAACATTTAGACTGATGTATGCATGTAGAATGCAACTTCATGGATTATTTTTCTTAAGTGTATCTCAGCATGGTTATTTTTTACCAAATCACAATGAAAATTTTCATATGTGTCCAGATGTTTGTAGCATGTGTATCCTACTTGCATACTTGGTAGAGAACTGACGGATTGCAGGGTTCTTGGTTGAGCAAACACAATGATAAATGCTGCATTTTCATTTTGTTGTATCATCTGTAGACTGTCTAATATATCACAGGGTCCTCCATAGCTGAAGCAGATATATTTAAAGAGAAACGTCAAAATGTTGACTCTGCCATGCATCTGACTTTTCTGGATAATGTTTGTGACTCATGCACCAAACATGATCGCTGTTTATAATTTACGGATTAGTTATTTATTAAAGCTCAGACTGCCAGAATTTTAATTCAGAATACTTTGGAATGATCTAAAACTAAAAACAGTTGACAGAAACTGAAATTTCCAAAAGTGTTCTGGGCAGGTTTAATATAACACATGGTCTTCAGTGAAACATTAATCCGAATTGTTTTGTTTTATTTGGCTTTGGTTTCCAAGCAAAGATTGCCAGGGATCTGATGACTTTTCCTTTCTTCCTGCAGATTAGATCCACCCTAGCAAAAGTTCAGCCTTTGCTGTGCAAAAGTGACTCAGATCATGGGGCTACACGTTGCGCACTGCTGGATTCAGAGGTAGGGAAGGATTTTGGTGCATGTAAAAGATTCATTACAATGGCCAAACTGCGTGTTAGTCTGAGACCACCTGTCACACACCAGCTGTGTTGGACTGCAACTCCCATCATTCCCAGCCAGCTTGAACGGCTGCTGTGAGACAACCGACAGCAAACTCATGGTCTCACCTGAGCCTTTCTAAAGCAGAGCTACGAGCGGAAGCTGTGTGCAGCCGTGGGCCATAAGTCCAGCACTGCCTTGAATTGTGCGTCTTTTCTTCCTGAGCCAGGGAAGCAGCAGGGCTGCTCTTGGGTGACACTTCTCGCTCGCCGGAGGGTTGCAGGCCTCCCTGCCCTCACAGAGGGTGAGAGTTCCTAAGGAGCATTCTGGCTTTTAGCTGTCCGATGCCGCCAATTTGCAAACCTAGGCAGAAAGCGTTTGGTGCCTGATGCCGTGTTCCAAGCGCTAATTAATCTTGTAGGCAGAGAATATTGGCTTGGGGAATCGAAAGCTGTTATTTATCAGGGCTGTGGCACAAATACTTTCAAATACAAAACCCTGGGGAGCTGAGTGCACAAAACGGGGGGGGGGGGGGTATTGTCATGGGCTGAGGGAGGAAAAATAAGGTTTTGGCGTCGACTCTTAAACATTCCTGGGTCTCAGTCCTGTGCTGGGTGAAGACTGGGCCAGAGCTTTAGGTTTACAGAATTCATCTGTGTAGTTATTGTCGGCTGGCAGCTGCTTGTAAAAGATGCTGCCATGTTAGGACCTAAGGACTGTGCCATATTTACTAGGTCAGGCTGTTTGGCTTTCTCATCCAGGTCTTGAGATCCCTTTTTACCCCTTCCGGGTGTGGCTTGCCAGTGGTGGGCAATGCTAGAGTCCATGAACATGTCTTTCTGTCTCACTCCTATACTACTGTTCACCTGTTCACACACAAATGGGTCCATTTGTATATGCATCAAATGATCCAGGGATCCCCAACCCTTTTGGATCTATGGGCACATTTGGGCATTTGAGAAACTGTTGTGGGCACTGCCACAAAATGGCGCCCATGGAGGATGTGGCTAGTCATGTGATGGCTTCCTTGGAGGCCTGGCTAGTCAAAAGAAGTGTGTGCATGGCAGACAGGGATGTTAGCAAGGATGGGAGGAGAAGGGAATAGAAGGTAAAGAGGTGGGTGAGAGAAGCAACAGAATAAAGGGAGGAATGGGAGAGAAAGAGCGAGCCAAGAGGCTAGGAAGGGAGAGAAAGGAGAAGGCTTGGGATGGGGAAGGGAGAGAAATCGTGAGGAATGGGGTTGGAAGAGAGAAGAGCAAGGCTAGAGGCCAGAGTGGAGGGATAATTGAGAGAGCAAAGGGGAAAGATCTGTGGGATGCAAGAAGATGGGGTGCATCCAGGAAACAATTCTTGCCTTCTCTTTCTGCCTATCAAAGAGCTCGTCGGTGGCAAGTTCAGGGGCAAGAAGGAGAAATTGGTGCCCTACATTTTCAAGGTTATTTTTCAATGGAAATATATTTTGAAGGACAGGAGTAGAGAATCTTTTGGGTGCTGTTGGATGCCCCCATGGGCACAATGGTGTCTAGAAGTGCGGTGTTGGGGACTCCTGGATTAATCCATCATCTGCTAATTTCTCCTCTCCCTCTGCCAGCATTCCAGCCCAGCAGACAACAATGCCCTGATGCAGTCACTGCTCACTGGACTGCCATCAACTTTGGGGGAGGACTTAGGGGAAAACAAACCCCTCTCAAAGCTCCAGTTCTTAGAAAATAGCCTCCAAAATTCACGAATAAAGAACTACTGGGGGAACCTTCCTCTTACCTGAGCCAATCAACGTCGCTCAGAGAAAAAGAAGGGGTGTGGGCATATCTGGCCGAGAGAGCAGCCCAGCTCACACACTCGTGTGGTGGCTAACCCTGGGGCTTGTTGAGTGCCTGCATTTCTGATCTCTTCTTGACTACTTGCTGTGACATCTGCATCTGAGCAGCTGGCTTGTTTGAAGGGGCAGCGACCCTCCAATAACCTCTGGGCTGTTGGTAGGTTATTTGAGGGCATCTCCTCTGTCTCCAGACAAGCCCTGCTGCCCAGGTTTGGCTGATGCAGCAAGCTGTGCCAGCCAGGGCAATCTGGCCAGGATGCAGTGGGCACATGCGATGGGTAAAATAAGCCATCATGGCTTACCCCCTTCGCTGCAGTCAAGGGAAGCGGGGACAAGAATCACCAGACATTCATTTATTTACTTATTTATTGCAAGGACTGAATAACAAAGGTTGTTTCCTGGATATTGGATCATTGATTTTTCTGTTTTATGGTATTGGGAGGCATTGGAGAATGGGAAGAATTTTAATTACCAAATAAACTAAAACTCTGGACTGGATCTTTGTGGATGAAAACTCAACTGGTTTAAAAGGGGGTCTTTCCATCTTGGGTGCTTTCCATGCTGGCTTCAGGGAGGAATTTGGGGTGGGGAAGGAGGTCTTTTCATCCCTTACCAGCAGGAAGGTCAAATGAGGGAGGGACAGGGATCCTAGAGAAAATTCTGGCATAGCCAGGGAAGGGGATGTCACCAAAGGGGGGAGGACTGAGGAGGAGAAGTCACCCAACAAGGAGCTGTGGGCTGATCTGGTCATCATTGTTGTCTTCACCATCAATTTCATTTCTATACCACCCATAGCTGTCTCTTGGTCTAGACTGTTGTTGGATTATTTGAGGATTGTTTCCTCCTTCACAAGCCCATGTTCAGATACCAGACAAGCTTCACCCAGACAGGTGATCAGGGAAATAGTAATTGTGCAAACTTGTCCATCAACTGAGTTCAGACAGTATAAAACCCGCACTCAAGGGGTGAGTTTGGGTTGTGGCTGAACTATGGGTGTGGCTGAATTGTGGGTTATGGTGTTGTCCAGACCCAGCAGTGCTAACAAGCCATGGTTTGCTAACCATGGTATAGTGTTAGGCTGTAAGGTGTGGATTGTTCACCATGGTATATTCACTTGGCTGAGTTCAGAAATCACGATAACAACCCACAGTTAAACAAGGGCCACAGACAGAAGACCTTGCTTCATTTTTCTTTTAAAAGACCATATTGATTAGAGTTGCTGAGAAATTCTTCCAGTCTGATTTTACTCCCAGGATTCTGAGGTTCTGGAAAAACTTGTTTTGTTCCAGGACTTATATTGATGCACCAGGAATCTGTCATTAATGCATGTTTTATTTTTTGTCTACTTTTTAGAATAAGTATAGAAACAAACAGAACATTACATATGTTATGTTACAAATAAAACCTACACACCACTAACAATCCCCATACAAACTAATCCAAATTTTCCAACTTATAGCAGGCTGCCCACTAACTTCTCAAGTTTTATACCAACTTTATAAAAGTCCTAAATTCAATAATATCCAAATCAAATTGCTGCTTCACGTAAATGATAAATGTTATTCAGCGGTTTTCAAATGTTTGATCTTTCCATCTACCCTCCCACAGATGAATAAATTCTGTTAACTTTACCATTGAAGCAATGCATCATAGCCTATCAATCCATTCTTCTATAGGAAGAGTAATAAGTAGTCTCTATTTAGCAGCAGTAAAACAATTCCCTACCAGTTCCACATAGGCAGTTTAAAGAATTTCTTTAAAACAGCCCCGTTTTAAATGTTGTATGTTGTTCAGAGTGCTGCCATCATGCTGCAGGTCTCACCACACTTTCCCCCCCTTGACACGTTACTAATGCACTCCAAGCATATATGCGCAGTGATAAAATTACAGCATAGAAGTAATTGCGATGCAATTGTGTAATCACATCAAGATTACGTTTTCGTGTGCGCTGATTTAACCAATCTGCATAAGTGCTTGTGCACATCTGCAACTTGTAAGAGTAAAAAGGCATGAACAGGGAAGCACAGCGAATGGTACACATTCTAATTCTCAACATCGATTTACCAGGGGATAGTGGAGTGAGTCAGGGGGGAAGAACAGGCCCTTAGAGCAGTAACAGAATGGGTCCATCAGCTGATCTTTAATCTGATTTTATGTTAGCCACATTTCCAAGGACCTGGATTGGCACCCAACGAAGAGGCCCTGTTCTCCAACCACAAGGAAACCGTGGAAGAACTGAAAAAGGCAGAAGAAGAGCTATCACGGGTGAACAAAGAAAATGAAAGGTTGAAGATCAAGGTTTGTCCATATTTCTGCAATGCAAAAAAAAAGCATTTCTGGATCTTTAGCTCCATGAATACCCATTTGTAGTTCAGATACATTCAATGAAAAAAAATATCTTACCCTTTCGTAGGTTTTGAAATTGGCCTAGAACACACACACAGCTGGAGCTAAAAGCGCTTGGACTTTTCCATGGCAGCTGGGAAAGTCTCACAGTTTGGTGATCTCTCTCTCTCTTCCTCTCTCCTTCTCTCCTCCTCACTTTGGTAAACTCCACTCTTGCCAATCAGCTCTCTTGGGTTGTGTTGTCTGGTAGGGAGAGGCCATAGAACAGGCTGTTGGGTCTTTATTGTGTCTTATAGATCCAGGGTGGTGCTGTGGTTAAGAATGCAAGACTCGGACTCTGAGTTCTAATCCTTGCTCAGCCATGGAGCTCACTGGGTGACTTTGGGCCAGACAGCCACTCTCAGCCCAAACTACCTCACAGGGTTGTTGTTGTGAGGATAAGATTGAGAGGAGGTGGACAACTTGCCTTGAGTTTCTTGGAAGGAAGAAAGGTGGGGTATAAATATAATAAATATACATATAAAACATATACATACATAATGCACACACATATGCACCCATGTATATTCCAGCAAGTATGGGAAACAATGGCTCACAAACTGGAAATATGCAACATACCTTCTTGCCCTGAGAGTGGAGTTGCAAAGGAGCACAGTGACCATGGGACCATTAAGCAAAGTGATGCTCAAAGTGTTACAATGAAGAATGTTACCTGTATGAAGTGAAAAATTACAGATGTTCAATACAACTCCAGTAATCCCTGCTCAGCATAGCTATTGGCCCTATGAACACTAATAGCTATTGGCTATAGCTATTAGTGTTCTAGTTTATCTAGGTCACCCTGGGTCTTAGTTTGGCCTTCCAGAGTGTTAGCTATTCTGCCCAGGGTGTTAGCTATTTGTGTAGAGTCGTCATCTGCAAATTAATCACCTTTCCCTGAACTTCCTCATCTAGATCATTAATAAGGATGTTGATGAGCCCTGGTCCCAGGACTGAGCCTGTGGCACCTCACAATGGCTAGAAAGAATTCCATACGTGCCTCATTGGCTTCGCTTTTGCCAGAGAAAAGAGGGTGATTTGCAGTGGAGGGAAAGAGCTCAAACGAGATATACCAGCTTTGGACAGAAGGTGGATCTCCAGA